GATGAGAAATAAAGTCATTGACATTTATCAGTCTGGAAAGGGTTGCAAAACCATTTCTAAGATTTTGGGACTCCAATGAACCACAATGAGAGTCCATAAGCGCACATGGAGAAAACTTGGAACTGTAGATAACCTTCCGAGGAGTGGCCAGCACACCAAAAGTACTCCAAGAGCGCATGGACGACTCGTGCAGGAGGTCGGAAAAGAAGCCAGAACAACATCTAAAGAACTGCAGACCTCACTTGTCTCAGTTAAGGTCAGAGTTCATGATTCAACAATAAGAACGAGACTGGGCAAAAATGTCATCTGTAGGAGAGTTTCAAGGAGAAAGGAGGCATTAGTTGGTGCCCTGAAGCTCAAGCTTACACAGTTTGATGTGGACAGTGATCCAAAATACACCATCAAGTCCCCCCTAATGGCTCAGAAATTAAAATTACATAAAATGAAGTTTTTGGAAGTGTCCGGTCAGATTTTGGACTTAAATCCGATTGAGATTCTTTGACATGACCTTAAACAGTTTATGATTGAAAACTATCCAATGTGGCTTAAATAAAACAATTCTACAAAGAAGAGAGGGCTAAAATCATCCACAGTGATGTGAAAGACTTTGTGCCAATTATTGCAAACCTTTGATTGCAGTTGTTGCTGCAACATATTAGTATTCTTTTCCTTTAAGTGTTAGCATCAATCCTCAATCAGATATCAGTTCTTAAAGTCTATTTGGGTCTAAACTCCGCCCTGTTAAAAGACTGTTTCCCACCTTGACCCACTGTCTACCTGAAAGAGTTTCAGGTACACTGACCCACTCTCAGTATACTGACATGACTACAGAGGTCATGATTAAGGAGCCTGTCAGAATGCTTGGGGCACAAAAACAAACATTTTGGTCCCCAGCAGCAGCATTCAAATCATGTGCTTGGGTCATTGTTTCTTGGCCTTAATTACACATCAATAGTTCTGAGACATAATGACCCTAATCTGGTCAAAGTAGCAGAGTAGGGTACATAATCTGCTTTGATCAAAATGGTTAAACTAGAGACAAAATGCCCTACATAGAGCCTGACTAATACATTGGTGGGTGGAGATTTATTGATTTATTGGTATCGGCTGACAAATGTAAATGTAAAAAGTAAAGACGAGACAGGAGAAACACCCTTCAGCCACATTAAAAGTGTAGATGTTTCATAGTTTAATCACTAGAGGGTAGTCCTGCAGTGTCCCTCTTAGAAACACGTGTTTGGAAATCCACGACTAGTTGTGACAATCTTAGTAGGTAATATCTGAATAAAGACTCATACAATAACATGCAATAACTGTTTAGAAAATCTATACATGGTTCATGTGTCTGAAAGGAAAAAAGTATTGTGTGCTACATTGGATTTTCAGCTCATCAAATATTGGTCTTAAAGATCTCACATTGGTCTTAAAGATCTCACATCAGTCAGGTTCTAGTTCTTCATCAGGAAGGTATTTTAAACTTTGCAGTTTATCACATTGAAATTCAGGAGACCTTCAGTAATGATGGAGGTGGATAGCTTTTCAACAATAAGTAACACAAGTAAGATATAAGAACATTTATAATATGTTTGGTTTTTTTGCTTTTAATTTGCAATTATTATCTCCTTTTATTGTTTTGTTATTCATCCATCCATCTCTTTTCTGGTGCTTAACCAATCCAGGGTCACGGAGGAGCTGAAGACTATCCCAGCTCTCAGTCTGTTGCTGGGCTAACACGTGGAGACAACCACTCATGCTAACATTAATAATCTAACCACTACGCTTTACTGTAAGACCCTTAAAGAATTTTGAAAGATTGATAAAAGTATTTTTTAATGTTGCTTGATTTGACAAACGTTTAGGATGTGTCTTCTTCTGCCCCACTAGAAGCACAATATATGAGGAAAAGTGAAAATCTAACCTTTTCTTCCTATGTTATGAGAAAATAAAGCAAATAAACCAGAGGGTAGCTCATGAATGGGAAGTGGGACATGGATTTATCCAACCACTTACTATACTTTCTAATCTCATCAGGACATCTCACTCTTACGAGCTGCACACTCCACATGGGATTAGGCTCAGGATATAAAATTCACACTGCTGCAATTCTCTTCTATTTCATTTGCAATCCTGCACATCCCTGCATTGCATAAAAATCCAGCAGACAAATTACTGGTAAGCTTTCTCTCACTTGTGCTTGTGGGAAGTCGACGGCGACCATCACCTCTTGACCCCGCAGCTTCGGCTTTCCTTTCGCCATTTCAGGCATGTTGTTGTGCACATGAGACACTCTGAGTTTACCTTTCATTACACGCTGTGGCAAATACCTCCTGTTTTTCCCATAAGTGGTCACTTTCCCACTGAATCAATGCCTACATCAACAGGAGATGGTGTTGGTGGTCATTCCTACGGCCTGCAGTGATTTACAGATAAATGCCAACCAGAGGGTATTTCAGAGTAAACCCAGCGTCTGTCAGAGACATGGGACAGACAGAAATCCTGGAGGAGCAGCTCTGATTATTCCAGTAAGGTTTATTTTAGCTAGACAAACAACAGGATATGATTATCTTGCAACAAACAAGCTTTGATGGAGGATGTAAACAGGTAGTGAATTGGCGGTGACGATTAAGATGGCATTGTGGGTTTTTTTTAAAAAAAAAAAGTTTTCAGGAAGAACAGTCTCGGATATTTTCAGCCCGTGAGAGCTGAGTTGTGAAGACGGTGTGAAATACGTAATCCTGGTGTTTTTGCGAGTGTGAGAACATCGCAGGATCAAAGGGAGAATCAAGTTCTGTTTTCAAACAATGGCTGGATTGCAAACAGATTTTCCTTCCTCACTGTTTCTCCCTCGGTTTCCTAAATAACAGAGAATCTTAGTCTATTTCGAGAAGTGCCAGACAGTTACCGGCAGGAAGAAAATTAAAGAAGGTTTTTTGTGATTGGCTCTTTCCTTAACAGCATGTGATCCTGGATTAAACTGGAGGGAAGGAAACAACTAAATTAATTAATGCACAAATCCTCCAAATTAGTTTTTCTCCCGTGTATAGATTATGTCAACGTGGAAATCTTGACTTTTTATCTGAAAATATTTTAATTGAGGAGCCACTGTGTGCCCGTCAATTCATTTTAAACGTAACACACTGTGATTACATGACAGGTACTTTCAGCTGCTTCCTTATTTCCCAGTGACCTGCCACAGACGACAGATCTTCATGATTAGGCGCAAATTTATTTATTTATTTTTAATGCCGGATGCTCTTCCTCACGCAACCCTCCCATTTATCTGGGTTTGAGCCCGACTGGTGTTGTGTGTCCTTCCGGGCTCAAACTGGGGATCTGTGATTACATACAAAGTCCAACATCCCAAATCACAGGCTCAGCTGTGAAAATGCACCCACCTTAAGATGTTGGAATGCTTATTATAATTTTAAAAGGTTCTGCAGCTCATTCTGAATACGCCCATGTCAGCTGATCTTTTTGTAAACGGTGGTTTACAGTTTGACTTAATAACTATAACAGTAAAATTGCGCAAAACAAGTTAAACAAGTTAAACTTCATGACGGGAAAAGGAAGTCCAGATATCCTCTGTTTAACAGAGGATTGAAGTTGGTGGAAAATGCACAATTTGAGTTCACTTCAATGTTTTTAATAACCTGATAAAAACAGTGATTAAAAAACAATAAACAAAAATTCTAAATGATGCATTTGATAAAAGTCATGGGCATTGCCTTGTTTTATGATAATCACATTACTACTCATTTATCTACCTGATAATTCGCCTCACGTTTGACTGACTTCTTTGGGTTTTTACTGGCAGCAGTGTTTACAACTTTAGTAAATATCCATCTCATTTCACCACTAACCCATAATCACATCAGTGTCATTTTAAAGGAACACTTTGTCTGCTAATACACAACAATATTGCTTGTTCGGTTCATAAATTTACAAAGAATGTGGGTCTGTACACACAGCGTGCACCTAATATAGTCAAATCAAGAGATTACAGAACTTTATGTTTCACTGTATGTGATCAGTAACCTCGTGAACTGAATAATGTTTACTTCCGGAGGTTATCTGGCCTTTTTTGGAGCTCTCTGTTCCTTATTTGGGTGTTTCCTGTGTGACGTCTGTTAAGGAAAACAAATGCTCTTTGGTTTATTGTCTTTCTTTTTTTTATGTGTGTGTAATAAACCCATAAAATGTGGATTCCTTCAAGTCAGAATACATATATATGAATATGTATATATATATATATAAATAAATAATATGTATAAATATAGTTAACTAGTAAATATTGCTTATTTAAATATTTTTAATTGTGAGATACACATAAAAGTGCAAAGTGATTATGCTTACTGGCAAAACTGTTGTTTTTCCTTTAATTAATTTTCACAAGGCTCTAATAATAATAATAATAATAATAATAATAATAATTTCTTTTTAGAATTACAAACTACCCTGTCTACTCAAATAAAATTAAATTGAACCTGAAAAGAAAAATGTATTATTAAATTAAATATATAAATATGTATTATTACTGTTATTATTATTAGTAGTAGTAATAGTATTAGTATTAGGAGTTAGTAATAGTGATATTTAAGGAATAACTCTAAATGGTAAAATGGTAAAGTAATTTATTTAGGCAGCAACTTGAATTATTATTTTTTAGCTAATCATTAATATTTAGGTCTTTAAATTTCATAAAGTGTAAATGATTATTGTTTTCAAATTCACAACAACCACAAACATGCAAAAAATAATAATTTAAAAAAATATTAATTGGGAGTTTTTGATGAATTTTATATCGATCATTTGACCGATTATTTCGTCTGTAGTCGTACATTTAAAGTTCTAAGTACGTTTCAAATCGAGTGACGCGGCAGTAAATCTAAAGCAGTCTTCGATGTAAACTTCTCCTTGTTGCAAATTAATCGCAGGAGTAACTGTGTTACTTTCTAACGCGTTACCGGCTGACAGTAGGATCAGTTTGTTGTGTAATCCAATAAGCTCCAGTCCGTATTTCCCCTCAAGCCCATCTGGCTCACTGGCAGGGTTTGTTTACTGGCGGAGGGGCTGGGAAGAAGGGGATCCTACAGGACCAGGGAGACTCTACAACCTACCTCTGTGTGTGGAAGAAGAAGAAAAGGAAAAAAACAACTATAAACTCCGATAAACCTACTTTCCTCTCGTTTAGATACACACTTTTGACCGTAGCGGGCCGCCGTGCAGTGCACGGAGCACAAGTTGGAGCGTGTATGTGAATTTCTTTTCTTTTTTTAAATTCCCAAACAAAAACAAAAAAGGAGAGTGGTGCTTCTGCTTCTGAGCTGCGACGAAGTCTGCGCTGTCAGCCTTTCGGAGAGCGGAGTGTTGCTGAAATATCTGCACGGACTGTGGAGGAAGTTTTCCAGCCTAGCCGACAAAATTCACAACACAAACATGAAAACTGGGCTGTTTTTTGCTCGCTGTGGGACTTGATGGGATTTTTCTTCTTTTTTTTCTGTCTCTCTATCTCGCTCCCTCTTTTTTCACGCTAACGTTACGCCACGCATGCCACAACCATCGAGTCAGCAGCAAACGACTCCCCCTTTTTTAAAAAAAAAAAAAAAAAATCCCTCTTAATCACACTAAAGCTCGCTTTTATTAAGATTTTCGTGCATGCATCATTTCTATTTTTTGAGGATGAAATGCATTGCAGCCGAGTGGCCACGCGTCGCATTTGGTGAAGTTAAAATTAACTGAGTGGGCTGCTGAAAAGCGGCGCAAACTTCGCTTGTGGCCTGAGCTGGAGTGGAGCAGGAGCCAGGCTAGCTAGCTCAACTGTAGCACCAGCGCTAACCAGCTTCTTCTCGGCTAGCGAGTCCGTTTTTGCACTTTTTTTTCACCGACACTGACACACAGCTGGGCCAGAATAACAACCAAAAAGCACTTAAAGCCATAAAAGAGCACCCACGCCCTGTGTTGGCGTTTGTTGATGGTGGCGCCCCCCACCCCACAGTGAGGTGGCTAACTTTAGCAGCAGCAGTACTGCTAGCTTGTGTTTGACTGAACACGTTGGAGTCGTTCCTCCGCCCATCTTCCGGGATGTCTTTTATTTATTTTTGTTTACCTGTTGGCCCACGCCGCAAAACAAAACCAGTTTTCTGAAGGTACTTCTCTCTCTCTCAAGTCCGAGCTGTCCTGCTCGTCGGGAGGTTTTTCTTTTTATATTTTTCTGATTTTCGACCGGGAGTAAGCGCTGCATGGTGTCAGATATGTGGCTCCGGACTTTGCGTTTGGGGTTTGTTTTGACCGCAGTCTGCTTTATGATGAGCTGTCACCAAGCGAGTGCAGAGAGTAAGTAACACCAATTTTCACATTTCCTGTTAAGCTCTTTTTAAAAATTGTGTGAAACTTAGAGTAAATAGCTGTTTGCGCTGTGCAGATGCCAGTTTTCTACCCTGAGAGAAAGCAGAAGTTTTTTTTGCGAAAAAGAGCGGAAAACGCACAGATTGAAATTACGCTTGATTAAAAAATTAAAAAATGACAGCCAAGTGTTGCGAAAATGCCCCTCAGTTGCAGTGATTGGGTTAACGAAAGCAATCAAACAAATCTTTACACATATTTTAATAGTGCCAAGATAATGGTTGATCGATTTCATAAGTGACTTATCAGGTTTTCTTTATCTACAGATATTTACACCCACGTAGTAGCTGCTGTAGTTATTATATGAACATCCAAAAACACAGTAAATCACTATTATTATTATTACGGTTTTACTCTTAAATGAAGCAAACATCCCGCTGATTAGTCGGATACCCTGCTGCAATATTGCCATACTGTTTTTTTTTCTCTTGTTTTGTTAGTGATGGTGAGTTGATAAAAAGCACGCAGGCTGCAGCAGCAGTGCTGTAGACAGCCCCTGCATTGAAGGGACAAAGGTTAGCAGTTATCGGCTGTGTGAGTCTGCACTAACTGTAAACAAATTAAGTAAGTAGTCTGAGAATTTAGTAGAATTAATTGGTTGTTATTGTAGATGCTTAAGCTTGGCTTGTTGCTCTGCTCTGTGCAGGAATGTGACAATAAGCCCTCTTTAAAGCCCCTCACAATCCCTTCTACACCCTGGTGATAAGAATGAATGAACGGCATTTGCAGTGACTCTGCAAACTGACAGTTTTCCACTGTGGGAATCTTTATTATAAGGGAAATATTACTAAGAAAAGGTGTGGGACATTTTTAAAGATGTCTGCACAGCAGATCAGTGATATGGCAGAGATCAGTCATTGCCCCATATACCAGGAAGTTCAGTTTTTATCAGAGCAGATGATTCATTCCAGGTTATATTTGATTTATAGGTCAGAAGAAACATTTTAAAACCTTTTTTTAATCTGCAAACAACTCTTGGGTTGTTTCCTTATTGTCCAGCCAGAATAACTTGTTGAAATAATGCTTGTCACAGCCTTTGGTGGAAGAATATTGGCTCGTGTTTGGTGCATCTGTCAATACTTTTTGAGTTTTATATAGTGAAATTACTCCCGAAGTGTGGATTTTTTAAAATGACTTTAATGTTAAAATCAGACTTTAAATGTGGTGTAAATGCCTTTTTTATATGATCTTCAAAAGTCCGATGTAAACTGGTAAACTAACTAGTTTTCCTCAAGTTGTTTGTTTACAATAATGTTTGCCTGTAGGTTCATTTGATGGTCAATTTTGTGCACGGTTGCAAAGTAAAAACGATTCTGTACTCATCACTTTTAATCCTGTTTAATTACTGTAATATCTAAGAGAAAATGCTCTGCTTTTTGGTACAGTTCTGTGACACAAGCACACAAACACATTTTCAGATGAACAGATAAATAGAAGCCCCTCCCGTGTATGTACATTATGACATTTATACAGTGTGTGCACAACCCCGGGTAGCTTTGACACTCATACTGCTTCACTGTATGGCATTGGTTTGACGTAAGAGGCAATCAGATAAAAAGAAAAAGCGCAGAGTCTCTTGCCTTTCATCAGATTTAAATGAGGAGCGTTTGGAGCGATGCCATCAAGTCAGGCTGAGCGAGAATTTTAAGATATAAATCTGAAGCAAGTTGTGTAATTGCCGTGCAGCCCCCCTCTCGCTCCTCTCAGACTTATGGGTGAACCACAGACGGGAAGAGTGGAACCTGGGCCCCACACTGCTTGATTTCATAAGCTGCACTGACCAGTGTTGAAGTCAGAAAATCTTTTGAGCTACTTGTTTTTCGCTGCCCAGCTCAGCTTGATGGAAAAATTCACTTAATAATGGAAACTTCATATTCACCGTGAATTGATTTCATTTACTAAACATCAATTGAAAATGTTGAAGCCGTCACCATTTTTGGTAAATATTGTGTATTTTATGCTTTTAGCTGGACCCTGTAAAAAGTACCACAGATCGATTAGAAAGATTTTGGGTTTTTTTTGTTTTTTACATTCACACTTCGAACATTTGGCGACCGCAACACTGATGTGATAAACATCAGCTTAAGTCATTTATAAGTGTCATCTTTTTTTACTGATGTGACAGAGCAAGTCACCAAGAACAGTAATTGCCAGTACATACATCCAAGAAACTGGAAATATGACTTAAAGTGCCAGAAGTTTACGATTCCGAAAGCAAATAATGTAGAAAAAACCCCCACAAATTCAAACAAAATAAGCCTGCAGGTAGAAATTTATGCAAAGTTGTTTGTTAACATAGTTTACTTCACTGAACAGTTTTTTCTCCAAATGAGGGCAACAGAAACAGGTGCTTAGTTTGGGGTTGTGAGGGATTAGAGATGTTCCTGCTGACTAACTTAACATTTGTTTTAACGTCAGGGGGGAAAAACAGACTAGTTAATTCTAATTTAAAAAAACAACCGACTTTCAGAACCTCTAATATGTGTAATCTTGCTCTGTTGTTAAATTCTGTTAGTACTTCCCCAAATTATGTACTGTCACCTTTAAAATATACTGTGTGTGCTGTCACATGACTGTTCTGTGACTCCCCCGTCTGTGACATGAAAACATCATGGAGGAAATGTCAAACAATGAGCCAACTGCGCAGTTTGTACCAAATAAAAATGGGTTTTTTGCTGTTATTTGGACGCTACTTTGGTTTTAGTAAAGACGACATCAACCAAAGCAGAGGGAACAAAAAAAGAGTGCGAAAAAATAAGGCCATACATCAGTCTGTCCAGCACTTGGAGTACAAATAAATCAATAAATCAATATATAAATATTCAAGGTCTTATCACAGCAGTCTAATAGATGGGGTTAAATTTAAAAATATATTATTAAATATAAAATATATAAAAGCATGAGCTGCTTCTATCTTATGTCCCCTTACGTCGCACTTCAAGGGCTCAGGTGGTCGAGTCGTGTTATTGTTGTGCCATGATAACATATCATCTTAAGAGCGTTAAACAGCCGGGGCTCGCCACGAAGCCACTGGCACCCTGTTGTCAAGCACCACTTTGGTCAAAAAATCAGGCAGCGATCCAGCAACCTGGCGCCCTTGATTTACGCCACCCGACAAGAAGAGCAATTGTAGGGCGATGAAACTGTCCCTTCCCCCCGCCACCTCTTCAAAAACACTACACACAAGCTGCCACTGTGCCCTCAAGTACCAAAGTCACAAGTGCAGTTGACATGTATACAATAGTGTGATTTTTGCATTTGTCACCCGAAACAATGGCTCTCTAATCCTTGTTGGCACGTTCAGGTTTGAAATTTATGCACTGCTTGAAAACGGTGATCTGACACACCTGCACTCATTCGTTTTATCCACTCATGCTGACGGTGAAACCTTGTAGTTTCTGATCTTTACCCTTGACACTGTGGCCTTGTTTAAAGAAAATATGCTTGTTAGCGTGCTGTCACACTTCAGAGGTAATAATTACCTTGGTGCTCGTGCTGTTTGTATGAACTCTGTGTGTTTTTTGTTTTTTTTAAAGGCTCTTATGAATCCCGGTGGTTAAAGCCAGTAGTGACATTAGCTGTTTTGGCTGCTACTGCACTGTGTCAGCAGTTTTGCAAAGTAACAGGCGCCCCAAATTTAAAATGAAGGACAAATAATAGGGTTGTGATTTATATTTTTACATAAAAAGGGGGTTGTATTGCTAACCAGCAGAGAGAATAATGTGTGAGTGCAGCTGAGTGGGTACTAAATGATCTTTGGTCCACAGCCACAGTATACAAATCACACAATCCCAAGGGGGAACTTTGTGGTGTGGTCGGGCTCTCTGTTTTACTCAGTTTCACTCTATTTAAAGACTGAGGCCTGATTTCTTTGGTTTTAACGTTTTCCTTGTTTTTAGCACTGTATTGTTAATGTGCTGTGGTTCCCAGTTGCTGACATATTTGATGATTAAACTCTCAACCCACGCCTGCTTTCTGGACTCTTGTAAGAGATTCTACACTGCGGAGGATGACTTTGACTCTTGACCAATTTCTGAAGAAAGTTGCATCTCTTCAGAGTCGTAGTAATGTCACTTTCTGGCTGTTGTAATATCTGACCTTGCACAATAGAAAAATAATAAACTTCTGAGCTGTAATTGGTGCTCAGGAGCTCTCCATAGCAGATAGTTGGATGTTTTTTTTAAAATAAATACAACATTTAGTTGAAGTAATTCTTAGAATAGTTTGAGCACGATGTTAGATAAATGAAACCTTATTTTTTACAATTAATTTACAATTTTTTCATTTTCACTTTGAGGTTTTAAACCCGTCTGAAAGAGGATCACATCACGTGCCAGTTTGTGAATCTTCAGTTAGTTGTAGCCTTGTTTGAGAAAACAACACAACAGTGAAACTTAGAAAAGGGAAGTGTTGCAATCACTGAGTGCTTGCGCTCCTGCATGCTTATTGAGGCTCAGTGATAATATACACCATCAGCCTAACAGCCCGAACCCCCCCATCCACTTCCTTCTCTACATCAGAAGCCGTCTGTGCCTGTTGATGCTTGCAGCTGTAGTGAAAGGATTGCGGTTTTGTACGTAGTGCCACTGAGCACAAAGTGGACAGATTGTGGCGCTCAGACTGTGCAGCATTGACTCCTTTTGGTTCACATATGCACACAATTTGTGTTCTGCGTTAAAGCTTCAGTGAGCTATAGATTAGTGCATGTTGATTCAAATTAAAGTGCAACTTGTGACCTAGGCGGGATTTACACGAGGCATTCACAATCTGCTAACTGTGTGGATTAATTATGAGGACGGTAACATCATAACTGTGTCTGCACTTACTCATGAAATTAATTGTGTGGTCTTGTTTGCTTTATGGCTTCATTATTATATAGAATTGGGTCACACTGTTGGAGCTTGTGGGTAGATTTTGTTTTTCTCTCAAAT